ACAACAACAAACACAACAACAAACACAACAACACAACAACAACAACAACACAACAAAAACAACAACAACAACAACACAACACAACACAACAACAACAAACAACAACAAACAACAACACAACAACAACAACAAACACAACAACAACAACAAACACAACAACAACAAACACAACAACAACAAACAACAACAACAACAACAACAACAACAGTCACAAGTTAGCCCGTTAGCATTAGCCCGTTAGCATTAGCCCGTTAGCATTAGCCCGTTAGCATTAGCAGTAGCGTTAGTCAACAGTTTTTCAGTGAGTCACTCTCAACTTTTTGCTGAAAATCAAACTCCTAAACAACAGGACCATGGACACTCAGACTGATCACACACTCCTGAGTGCAGCTTAACACCATTTTATGTTTTATTTATGAGTTTTTTAAAGAACTTTTATAGATTTTTTTATTTTTTTTTCACAACGGCCAGAAGTGCAGTGCTGTACGGTTAGAGAAGTGTCCAGTTAATTGTTTTCTGTGTATAAATGTGTGTGTAAATGTGTGTGTAAATGTGTGTGTAAATGTGTAAATGTGTGTGTAAATGTGTGTCGTTCTTCCATGAAGAATTTATCCACAACTATCAACTATCAAGGTAAGAAAGACGAAAGTTTAAAGGAAACAACGACCACACTTTAGTGACCTACTGAGCAAAACTAATGTTATGATCATGAATAAAACAGAAGGAACTTGTTCACTCAGACTCATTCTACAATTCAAATAAAAAATGTATTTCATGATGTGGATATTTGCATAGATAGAGAAATTTGTGCAGTTTGAATGTTAAACATGTAATCTGTAAACATGTGGAGCACTGCACTGCACAAAAAAGAAATAAATTATCCAAAGTAAGTAAGTCTTTATTTATATATATTGCTTTTCACAGGCATATGTCACAAAGAAGCTTTACAGAGCATTTTTATAGATTGATTATTCTTTTCTTTCCACACCCGGTGATGGTAAACTACTATTGTAGCCACAGCTGTCCTGGGGCAGACAGACGGAAGCGCGACTGCCATGCCAATTGGCGCCATCGGTCCCTCCGACCACCACCATCACACACACACCACTTTCATACTATGTGGGTGAAGTGCCTTGCCTAAGGACACATTGACAGTTTTTTGTGACTGGCGCCTCCTGTGGCTCCTGTGTAATAAGTGCCACAGCGTATAAAATGTATAAAAAGTAATTGCAATTATATATGAATATAGATACAGTATATTCTAAATAAAAACAGTCTTTTTATTAAATACAACTGGCTGCTGATGCTCTACAGAACCGACTGTATTGAAATTTGGGGCAATAGATTTGTATTAAGACCAATACAAATCCAATCTTTACCTTGCAAAAAAAGACAATAAGAGCAATCACCTGATCAACTTATAATGAACCAACCAATGTGTTATTTATAAACCTTGAAACTCTGAAATTTTACAATTTAGTCGACCTTCACACTCTGAAAATCATGTTCAAAGTAAACAACAATCTCTTGACAAAATCATTACAGAATATGTTCAAAATCTGAAATAGATCATCTCAGAGGTACAGCCACGTTTATCAAAAAGAAAAACACAACAACAACAACAGAACAAGAACCACTCTTCAATTTTATAAAGAAGTTTAAATGTTAAACTTTGAGCAGACACATGAATGATGATGTTTAGTTTGTGCTGTTGTACTTTGCTGTGCAGTTACAGATTTTTTTGTTTCCGCTCGCTGTATTTATGAATATGAGCTGGTGTCAATATGATGCTCTGACAAAGGAATTAAAGGTTGTATAGAGGATTTTTTAAGGAAAGAGAAATACAGCGACAGTCCTTTTTTACTCTAGAAATCACGCTTGTTTACATTAAGTTCGTGTTCAGAATCACTGTTGAAGTTTCCTGTCTAGAAATAATTTATCGACCGACGCGTCAGTTTTTAGACCCTTCGTCTGCTTCAGTCGCGCCGTCGCTGGAAGGAATCTCCAAGAAACACCTCAGTTTGTCTTCGCTCCTTTTCTCCTTCTTCTCTTCTTCTTTCAGCGATCTCAAAAACGGACTTTCTTTTGCGGCGAACTGGTCGTGGATTCTCGTCCGCCGTCGCAACAAACTTTGTGCGAATTGTGAGGAAGCGACAGTTTGAAAAAGCCTCTAAGAACCGCCGCATAAACCACGTAATCCCCGCGCGCCGGCGAGTCAGTTACACTAGAAACGTAGGGAGTTTGATTGACAACCTAACAGCCAATAGGAAATGAGGGAGCCTCGTTTTCTATTGGCTGATGTTTATCTCGTCTCACTGCGTCCACAGTTGATAGATTTTCATAGTTTTTTTTTGTGGTCATCATAATTACAAAGCTGCTTTGTCTCTGTAATGGTATTTTAAACTTTCATTGGCAATTTGAAACAAAAAAAAAAATCCTCCATACAACCTTTAAGCATAAAGGCAGAATACGTTCAAGCTTCAGCCAAAACCTTTTTCGGTCTGTGTAAATCCATATTCGCACGGGTTAAGTATAACCCGGGGACGTCTGGTAATTCACAAACTATCGCCCCGCCTCTGTGTTAATGTTTGCAGCGCATTCGCACGGGATCAGCCAAGTCCGTAAATGACTCTATTTTACGGACACTGACTGAGACTGAACGAGAAAAGAACGCGGAAAGAAAAGAAAGAGATAAAAAAAGGCGCAGTTACAACAACAGACGCCAAGATGCAGATGTTTGGCGAAATATATGAGGTAATTTGCGGCAGAATTTTTACTTTACAAATTACAGATGTGGCGCGTTTGTACGGGATTAAGATAATTCTCCGCAATTGTTACAATCCATCAAACGTCCACAGCTAAAACTGATCCTGTCTGTGTGGAATAATGTCAGAATATACCCGACTGAAATAAATTAATCAGTCAAAATCTCTCTCTCTGTGTTAATATCGACATCGTGAAATTCATTTTTAATTTGAATTGTAGAATGAGTCTGAGTGAACAAGTTCCTTCTGTTTTCTTCATGATCAGAACATGAGTTGAGTTTGTTGTGTGACTCATGTGTCGTCGTTGTTTCCTTTACGTTTTGTTCTTTCTTCTCTCGATCGTTGTGGATCAATTGTTCATGAAGAAAGTTTATCCTTTGTGGAGTTTGTTGGTTGAAGATTTGCTGATGGGGCAGATTTATGAAGCAGCTGGAGAAAACGACACACATTTACACACACATTTACACACACGCATTTAAACACACATTTACACACATTTACACACACATTTACACACACACATTTAAACACACATTTACACACATTTACACACACATTTACACACACATTTTACACACACATTTAACACACACACATTTACACACACATTTACACACACACATTTACACACACACACATTTACACACACATTTACACACACACATTTAAACACACATTTACACACACATTTACACACACATTTACACACATTTACACACACATTTACACACACATTTACACACACACATTTACACACACATTTACACACACATTTACACACACACACACACATTTACACACACATTTACACACATATTTACACACACATTTAAACACCCACATTTACACACACATTTACACACACATTTAAACACCCACATTTACACACACATTTACACACACATTTACACACATTTACACACACATTTACACACACATTTACACACACGCATTTAAACACACATTTACACACACACATTTACACACACACATTTACAACACACATTTACACACACATTTAAACACACATTTACACACACACTTACACACATATTTACACACACATTTAAACACCCACATTTACACACACACATTTAAACACACATTTACACACACACATTTACACACACACATTTACACACACATTTACACACACACACACACATTTACACACATTTACACACACATTTACACACACATTTACACACATTTACACAGACATTTACACACACACATTTACACACACATTTACACACACACATTTAACACACATTTACACACACATTTACACACACATTTACACACACATTTACACACACATTTAAACACACACATTTACACACACACATTTAAACACACATTTACACACACACATTTACACACACATTTACACACACATTTACACACACATTTACACACACATTTAAACACACACATTTACACACATTTACATTACACACACACATTTAAACACACACATTTACACACACATTTACACACACGCATTTAAACACACATTTACACACACATTTACACACACACACTTACACCCACATTTACACACACATTTAAACACCCACATTTACACACACGCATTTACACACACACATTACACACACACACACACATTTACACACACATTTACACACACATTTAAACACACACATTTACACACACATTTACACACACATTTAAACACACATTTACACACATTTACACACACATTTAAACACACACATTTACACACATGCATTTAAACACACACATTTACACACACATTTACACACACACATTTACACACACATTTACACACACATTTAACACACACATTTACACACACATTTACACACACATTTACACACACACATTTACACACACATTTACACACACATTTACACACACACATTTAAACACATACACTTACACAGACATTTACACACACACATTTACACACACATTTAAACACACATTTACACACACATATTTAAACACACATTTACACACACATTTACACACACACATTTAAACACACATTTACACACACATTTACACACACATTTAAACACACACTTGCGGCCGTTGTGGAAAAGTTCTGTTTTGGCTGTGTTTGCTCAGGTGTGCATTGTGTCGCCATGGTAACTGCTGAACATTCATCCATAGACATACACGCAGTCCTCCCAGCGTTACCGTGGTAAATGTACTCATGTTACATTGTGTTTCGTGTGTTTCTCCCAG